TTTTTTTTTTTTTTTCTTTAACTCCATCTACATTCGTTACCTCCCTCGGGAGAGTATGTGACCTCGTCTTTTTTACTTGCGTCTTTCTCGTTGGTGTACGAGCTCATGCGCCTTGTTTATTGTCTCTCTTCTTGCCGAACTCCCCTCCCCTCGCAGCCTACCAGATTTTCTTTTGTTAACAGAGTGGGACATGCCGGGCTTGGCAAGCCCTCTTCGTTAGAAGACTTTGTGCGTACACGTGGTCCAACCTGCTCTGGGAAAGCTGATTGCAATGGCTCGTTGTTTTCAAATGTTTTTGGTGAGCCTCCTTGGATCGAGGGTAAGGTTTAGTTGACCTGGTTCTCGATGACGGAAGATTACTAGACAAGTGCATTTTGCAGGAGGTACCATCGTACATTATATCGATTGACCTACAAGATATCGATGGCATTGTTAATACAGGTCTTTTTTTGCCATCCCAAAAATGTGGCTGTTGAAGTTTTGTGAGCCTAGAGGGGAACTAAACTTGTACCTGTAAAACCTTTATGAAAAGTCAATCTACTTTATTGATCTTCGTAGAAAAAATTATAGTGATTTAAGGGTTGAAAGGACTCATAAAGTCGTATCATTAAATAAGTTGATTGATTGATTAATTGACCGATGGATAATATAAAAGAAAAAAGATTGTTTTTAACCTTTTTGAGTGTTAATGCTATAATGCACACATACTTGATTTCTTGAAATTCGCACGCCAATTCGATAGCGCAGGAATACATTTCCAGTGAAAAAATGGCAAAGTCAAGCCAGAACTAATTAAAAGTTTTTTCCAACTCTTCATCATTCTTCATTAAAAAAAAAAAAAAAAAAAGAAAAAAATCAACCAGTTGAGCAATCTTAACGCTATGCTGCAAGTATCGCATACATGCTACGGAGTGGAAAATAAGTAAAGCCAAGAAATACGGCGGAGCAGCACAGGCAACCTCTCAAGAGCATATTATACCATTGGGCTATTTATACAAGCGGTATAACTCATTCGCGATGATAATTGTTGAAATGGTTCGGTCGAGTGATTCCTTAAAAGAAAAAAGGAAAAAACAAAAAAAAAAACACTATCGATCGTGTTTTAAATCGGTTGCGTAGCTGATGGAAATACTTTTCATCGATTTGCCGCGGTACAAGTTCGGCAAGAGTTGCCGACACCGTTTCCTTTTTTTTTTTTTTTTTTTTCTTTTAATCTATTATACTTGAACATTTCTTTATCTTGTTCTCGGTATAAAAAACATATCCACTAAACTATATTTATACTTTCATTATCTCATTTTGACAAATGCGTGCCGATACAAAATATACCACATGTATGTGCGTTATTCAAGAAAATGTAACGTCATAATATATAGCCATCCGTGTATGTTTCAATTTTATTTAAGGGCATCGGCCCCTATGATGGGTTCCCACACTTTTTTTTTTTTTTTCTTCCTCTCACCCCCATCACCGGCATACTTTGTTATTGTTCAAAACACGTCACGCTCTGGCTCTCCTTCGTTGGCACATTGACAATAATTATAGTAGGTACTACGAAAAATTAACAAAATATAGAAGAACGCACAAAAAAAGCCGGGAGTGATTGAATGCCGGTAGAAAAATTCCTTTCCTCAGAAATGACATTAGTTCAAAAATGCAACAGAGTAAAAAAATTAAAACGGTATTTGAAATATTATTATATTGCGGCTCATTTAGAGAGAGAGAGAGTGACGGCGGGGGTGGCGCGTGTGTGTATACTCAAGCATGTTGGTATTGGTGTATATACATATACTGTTGTTGCTGCTCTCGTGTGTGTCGCCGCCGCCAATGTGGTACGTACATATAACAGGCTTATATGCGCGTACGTCGTTTTTCCCTCCAGGAGGCAGAGCAGGCCTGCAAGCCAGGCCAGCTGCCCGTAGCTTATAGTTTATGGTCATTTAACTTGTAGTTGGTAAACAACAACGTATAGGTTTATGTAGGCCGGTATGCATAAACACAACAGTGAATTGAGTGAACATTTATGAAAAAAAAGAGGGCGACGATACAGTCCAGTGAGTTATACCTATCTACACGTTTTCTCCAAAATTTCGGAGTCTGAAACATTAAATATACTTACCTATACACACACGTACGTATATATAGGTACCCATCATCGTTACTATCGTTACATCGTCGTCTTTTTCTCTCGCGTGTTCGTGGTGTGTTGTACTGTTGTTGCTGTTATTGCATCTACATGTATACATTAATGGGTACATGCAATTTGATTTCTCAACAAACACGCACGTAGACGAAGAAAAAACAAAAAAAACAAAAAAAAAAAAAAAAAAAACAGGCGTATGCTGTGAAAGCACGAGAGTTAACGAGGTTACTGTCGGGTGTGCAACGATTGAGCGAGCAATAAATATATACGGTAGTAAAAGCCAAGCGATCAAGGATGGAGCTAGCTCGCAACTTTTCTCAGATCTTTTGGTCACCGGATGTCTGGCTCCCACCGAACGTCACCTGGGACAACATCGCCCCAACGCCCGAGAACAGATTCGCCGACTACCGGCACCTCGTCTACCCCATCCCGATGGCCCTCGTCGTCCTCGTCCTTCGATACGCCCTCGAACGGTACGTTCACAACTTATCCTTAACATGATGTGGGCACTCACATGTCTGTTGCTTGCTTTACTCATTTAACTAGCCAATTTTATATATCCTTTGTTGACTTTTTTTTTTTCCTCCTTCCTAATTTACTCCTTACTTCCTAATCTTTCGCATGTTTATCGTTTTTTAACTGTTTTTTTTTCATCTATTACTACTTTTCCTTTCCTTGCGGCTTCACAAAACCTCTACTTTTTCACTAGTTTTCAACCATGGACTTGCAAAATATTTAGGAAGCTCGTCCTCGAGGACGAGTAAGTGCGTTAGGGGTTTTGCAAGGTTAGACACGAACGAACAGTGTGGATTATACTTACTTTTTTCCTGACTTCCTTCCTTCTTTCATTCATTCATTGCTACAACGGATACTCACTTTTTTGATGCTTTTTTTTTTGGGCGTGCAACTTTGAGCGCGATGTGATAAGTATGATTGATCCTTATTTACATAAATTACTTAATAGTCCGTTCTTTTTTCATCACGTGTCAGAATTATGCTCACGTCCTTGAAAGGAACTACTTAGTGGAATGTGTCTTGCAGAGAAGGCAGGAAGGAGTAAGTAGTCGGTTGACGCGCGATATTTTTTTTTTTTTCACGATATCCTTTCTTTACACAAATACTTGGTTTTTGTAATTATAATTCTTTTCTTTTTTTTCTTCCAAGTGAAAGTTGTAAAAAAAAAAATTTTCAGCTCTCGTGAATCGAAAATCAGACTTAATATTTCAAGACAATCAATGTTTCATGTTTTATTTTTTTATTTATTTTTATTTACAAGGACTATTGAAACATTGCTTCACATTACCTAATTTACTATGTCCGACGCTTTTATGATAAGATTGTAAACGAGCTTTCCTAATGGTGTTTTAAATAATTCACTTTGAGCTGAATTATTGGTCATTAAAATTCGCTGATAAGACAAAACAGAAGTAGCCCTATCTCGTAATTTGAATGACTTAATTTTATTTTAACTTTATGTAGTACTAACGAAAAAGTTACTTGTCTCTACAAGCAGATTCGTGGATTCGTAGATCTCGCGATTTATTTTTGTGGCGTATCTTTCTTTTATGGTACTAAAATGGCCAACTCAAATATCTGTGCCTGGTTATTATCAACTTTAAAAAAAATATACTAAATTACCTTTTTATTGTATTCCATCACTATAATAAATTTGGCAGTGATCGGTGTTTTAATAATATTTATAATCTTTTGTGAAATATTGATTTTTGTTTCACTTATTTACCAAAACCTTTCGACCTATCAGCCAGTGATTAATACTTATCATTTGAACAAGAAACGAAAAAAAATATAATTTGAGTTGTGAGTTGGTATGTTCATAATCCGATCGATCTTCACTTTTTTTAAGACTAATAAGCTTTAAAAAAATTTTAATTTTCATGAGAAGTTGTTAACTATAAAAATTTTGTTTCAGATTTTGTTTTTCACCATTTGGTAGGTACATAGGTATTAAATCAAACAGTTCAAAAAAAGCTCCACCAAATGCTATTTTAGACAAGGCTTACAACGGAAAGAAAATTAAGCAAAAGCAGGTAAAAATGTTTGATCAACTATCAACTATTCAATAATTATTAAGAGCTAAGCACTATTGTCAGATAAATTTTTTAATTACAGATTACTGCCTTGGCTAAGCAATTAGACTGGACTGAGAGACAAGTAGAGAGATGGCTGAGACTGAGACGTGCTCAGGACAAGCCTTCAAAACTGACCAAATTCTGTGAGAGTAGCTGGAGGTGCCTGTATTATACCTCTGCCTTTCTTACTGGCCTATATATTCTTTGGGACAAACCATGGCTGTGGGATATCAATCATTGTTATTATGGTTATCCATATCACTCTGTATCTAATGATGTCTGGTGGTACTACATGCTATCCATGTCATTTTACTGGTCACTGAGCTTTTCTCAGTTCTTTGATGTTAAGAGAAAAGATTTTTGGCAAATGTTTGTACATCACATTGCAACTATTGTTCTTATGTGCTTCTCCTGGGTTGGCAATCTAACTAGGATAGGATCCCTTGTGCTTCTGGTTCACGATAGTGCCGACATTTTCTTGGAAGTGAGTTACATTTTTACCTTAACAGCGCAATTTATTAAAATAGACTTTTGTTTTTATTTAAAACGTCTTTCTAGGGAGCCAAAGTCGCCAAATATGCGAATTATCAAAGGCTTTGTGATGGCTTGTTTGTCATTCTTACAGTTGTATGGATTATTACAAGAATGGGTGTTTATCCATTCTGGATTATCTATAGGTACGTCTTCGTAAGAGTAAAACAATTGATTTTAAAATTTATTTGAAATTATAACATAAAAAAACATGTTTGCAGCACTTCGGTTGAAGCACCAAAAATATTGCCCATGTTTCCAGCTTACTATATATTCAACTCATTGCTGAGTTTGCTGCTGGTCCTACATGCCTTTTGGACGTATCTTATTTTAAAGATAGCTTACAATGCATTTAATGCCGGACGGGTATTTACTTTTACTTGATTCAACATCTTAGCCATTCCAAGTATTTGATTAGCTACCATTTTTATACTCGTAATTTCAGATGGAAGGAGATATCAGAAGTGATAGCAGTGAAGAAATTTCCGAAGAACTTAATGGAGCAGCAACAAACAATGTTGGTAATCACATTAGTAATTCAAACATAAGGCAAAAGCAGAATTAAATTGCTCATAATAGATTAAGCGTGTTTATAAAAATAAAAAAAAGGTATTACTCTGATCAAGAGAGTGGACCGGCTGTTGATATTAGTTTCTCGAAGTAATGTCATAAAGGAACGAATATTAGAAGATGCAAGAAAATTTTTGTAATTAATGTAATTAGAAAATATTTAGCTCGAACGAATTGTGAACCATCTCGGGAAACTCGAGGTTTCACGGACATACAATCGATTCCAATCTTATTTTCTAATATATAAGAGCGCTTTTATACGATATTAGTCGTGAGAGATTGTCGTAAAGTTGTCGCCTGTTAAAAAAAAAAAAAAAAAAACGTCATTACTAAATAGCAAAATATTAAATTGTTGCGAAGTGTTGTATATGAATATTTTTATGGAGTATTTTTCACTCATTTTTTCAAACATCTTTGATTCGCCAAGATGTATATTTTATATTGTGCACTCGCCAGTTTGTATGGTAAAATGTTAATTCACAGTATTTACTTTTATTTTGTAAAATTAAGCGCCACTACAAATGACTTTTTTATTTTGAAGAAAAAAAAAAAAGGAATATTTAAATCTAGTAACCAACATCTATACTTGTGTACACAATATTTTTGTGCTACTGAACAAGCTTTCCTAAACGAGTTTTTTTTGTACATCCAAAAATATCAGCGAATAAATGGAATTAAGTTTTTTCGATAATGACTCTTTTCAGAATGTATCTTAGAGTTATTGTCATCGCGCAGTTGAAGGGATTTTTCCTTTTAAATGAAAATGAAAAAAAAAAAAAATAAAAATACTAATTTCCAAACAACACATTCACTAATTTTTAAAATAACTGAATAAAACATAACTTTGTTCAAAATTTGTATTTATTTATTTTTTCCTTAATAATTATGGATTTTTTAAATCATATAAGTAATAAATGTCGATATCCTTTCTTTACACAAATACGAGCAATCAAGTTTTAAATATTAATTTGATTTAAAAAAAAAAAATTATAAGTCCGGAGCAATACTAGGTTAAACTTAATTTTCGCACGAGTCGATAGTAACAACAACGTAACACCATCGTTATCGTTACCTCATGGCAAGTATTAAACTTCATAATATAATGCACATTACACACACGTTAGCACGTACAGCTGACGCACAAGAAGAAAAAAAAGATCCAGGGCTAATCAGCGGCTGCATGAAAAAATATTGTTGGAGTGGTTGTGTGTACTTATCGTATACAGAATGCAAGATGTACTTTTATAGTATTGTATATGCGCCGAAGCGAGAGATAAGTGGACGGCTTGTTGAGAAAGACTCGATAATTGCCACAGAAAGAAAAGGAGAGAGAGAAAGAGAAGGACGAGCATAAGTATATATTCCGTAATCGGATATATAGCCGAGAAAGAAAGGCGCGAGACCGGGAGTCCATTCAAGTTCGCGTCGCATAAATCGGTAGGTATAGCCATTGGTATACTTGTACATGCGGGGTGCCTGTACAAGAGAAAGAGAGAGAAGCCGGACAAAAGGGTGCTCCGTACATACGGCCACAAAGACGCTCTTCTCTTTTCTTGTCACATTTGAAAAAAAAAAAAAAAAAAAAGAAAAAAATCAACCAGTTGAGCAATCTTAACGCTATGCTGCAAGTATCGCATACATGCTACGGAGTGGAAAATAAGTAAAGCCAAGAAATACGGCGGAGCAGCACAGGCAACCTCTCAAGAGCATATTATACCATTGGNAACAGCGTAGAAAAAAAAAAAAGAAATAGAAACTTTTGTAAATATTTCAAAAGCGGAGGTTCACAGTATGTCCGGAGCTCGCGTTTGCCCGTGAGATCGATGGGAGCTGTCCAACCCGACCCTTATATCCGAGCAGCTGAAAAATCACGTTTACGTGCAAATGTAAAAATAATATATACCTATTGCCAAGCGAGGAAGAACAAACAAGTTTCGACAATAACGAAAAAAATAAAATAAAATAATGAAAAGATTCGTGTTCAAGTGAGATTGGAAGCGATGGAAAACATGCGCATTTAACAAGCCGAGGAATCTCTGTCCATCACGACAATAGTCATGACAACAGTGTAAGTAATAATCGAATGAAATGGTTTCACCGATAATCTTATTAAATCTCGTATAGAAGATACATACATGGTAAAGAGATATTGCAATAGGCGTTTGACGGTTTATATACATAATAGATACTAAGCCCCCCTTTTTTTACGTTTCTTCCAAATTACGCAAAAAATAATTTGGAGGTCAAAAAACATGTTGCGAGAATCATGAGATTTTTCGTGTTTAAATAAACAACAGACGATGTAGAGCTTTTTTGTTGCTCTGTTCGAGCTTTTATGAGGCGTGACAACTTTTTTTTTTTTTTTTTTTTTTTACTACCAGATCGCAGGTTTGGTTTATCTGTGGCCTGTTGGGAAAAATAATTACGCCGACACTGTATATATTATACACACGACGTTAAAAATAACGAGTGCAAATGAGGAAAAAAAAAAATAGTTTCATCCTTACCGCGTTTTCGGTGTAGCTTTCTCATTGTATAGGTATGTGATGAAACAAAAATAATTTATTTCTACG